ACACACCAACCAGTCTGCTGATCTCACACACCTCTTATACCTGGTTACACCGCGCCCACCTGTCAATCAAGTCAGCTACACGCCTCATTGTGAATAACTCTTATCCTTCATCAAATCAAAACTGATGAGTCATCAAAACATTCACCCCCCCGTACAGTGTGTGTCCATCGAGACATGAGCTAATCACACCTATTTGGTTTTTTGAACCAGGCTGTAAACATGTTCGTCTCTGCTGTAAAAACAGGCTTTTTAGAATGGGTGTGTATGTGACTTCCTGAGCTTCTGCAGCCAGCCTCTACTGGACACTCCAGGAACTGCAGGATTTTACACTTCTCAAATCCTTCACAATAATTGGCTGTTTGCCAGATGTGTGACTTGTGTTGAAATGCAGCATTCAGTGTGTTACAGCAGCAGCTCTCAGTTTTCAGCGTGCAGATTGCAGAACTGTGACTTTGGACGTTCAGATTTGTTTGATTGGTGCAGGCAGAAATAATAATGTAATACATGTTGTTTTTAAAATCAGTTCCTTAACCTCCAGACGACACAAGAAGAGAAACAAGAGCCGAGGTAGAAATTCAAACTGATCTTTATTCTCAAATGAATCTCAGCAGCCGGAGTGTGAACGCCATATTCAACATGTAAAATAAAAAACGCCATAAAGATGGCAACCCGATCAACACCTGAGGCCTCGCCGCTCAGTAGTTCAAATAAATACTTCAATCAGTCCTCATAAATACCTTAGGGGTTCAAATTTAAATAAATAAATATTTATTTATTGAATAAATAAATCAATAAATAAAAGTAGCAAAGCTGGTGATAAATGTGGTAAAAAGCACGTTGTGTAGAAAACTGGACGGCGTCGTTAGGCGGCTGTGGCACGTTCTGAGGCGTTCTGAGGCACGACGCAGAAGTCCTGCAGGTAGGTGAACAGGATGTCGATCTCCCCCACAGCTTTGATGATTCCTCGCCCGCCCTCCATCTGAAACCGACAGAGAGAGAGGTTAGAAACACACAGCTGTCGGGGGGTGGGGGGGAGGGGGGTGTTGTTGTTTTCAAACTGACCTTCTTGAGCTTCTTGACGAACTCCACGGCGTGATGATGGTCGTGATAGTGAGTCACATTCTGAAGAGACAAACGGGGGCGCAGGTTAGCATATCTGTGTGTGTGTGTGTGTGTGTGTGTGTGTGTGTGTGTGTGTGTGTGTGTGTGTGTGTGTGTGTGTGTGTGTGGGGCGCTTCCTCCACTCTGAAACTCAACGTGTCATAAAAGCGCTTCAGAGCCATTTGTTAAAACCAGGCTAGCTGTTTCCCTTTGTTTCAAGTCTTTATGCTAAGCTAAGCTAACGGTCTACTCACACAGCCTTGGTTCTGCAGGTCCAGGCTGACCCGGCTCAGGTCCGTCTCCAGCTGGTTCATGCGGGGGTGAGCGTTTTGGTGGTGACGCAGGATGTTGTTCAGGTAGAAGTCCAGGATGTTGGCGTGGAGGCAGCAGATCTTCAGGTGGTCCTGGGGGGAGGGGAGGGGGGTCAGCATATTGTTTTCAAAGGCTCTGCTAACGGTTGAGACTTTCAGTGCACGAGGAGCGTGACGGACTCTCACCTCGTTAGTGTTGACACGTGGAATCAGTCTGACGCTGGAGTCGTCCTCCGTCTGTAAACTCTGAGCCTGAAGAAGAACGACATGATTAACTTCAAACATCCGCACGAAGCCCGTCTGAACTTCTGCTGGACTCAAAGACCTGAACGTCTCACTCCAGGTGAAGTTTAAACCCTGAACGATGTTTTCACACAAACAGCGCTCGTTAAACAAAAAAAAAAGACGCAACCTCGAGGTCAGAAACAAGTCTGCTTTAAGCCCCGCCTTCTTTCTGTGGAGGAACATGTGAAGGTCATGTTGGAGTGTTTTTCTGATCGCTGAGAATACGGTTCAAATAATGTCTCTCATCAAAGCTTTAACGTCCTCGTGCAGCGACCACGAGGACACGACCTGATGTTTCACAGCACGTCACTTCATCGACTGATTTATTCAAAAACACAAGGTTACAAAAGAAGAA